AAGAAGAGCAGCAGCAGCAACAACTCATCCTGCTGCAGCAGCAACTACAGCAGCAGCAGCAGCAGCAGCAGCAGCACGATTCACTCTCACCAGAAGAAACACCCAGAAGCAGCTCGATCGGCTCGAGAGGGGTGAGGGAGCCAACAGCAGCAGCAGCAGCAGCAGCAGCAGCAGCAACAGCAGCAGCAGCAGCAGCAGCAGCAGCAGCAAAGATGCCTGCTGTGATTCCTCCTTTTCTGCAGCAGCTGCCTCAGAGCTTTGTTGCTGAAGTTGTTGCAGCAGCAGCAGGTGGGGGGTTTACTCCTTTTGCTGCAGCAGGTGCAGCAGATCCTGCTGCTGCTGCTGCTGCTGCTGCTGCTGCTGCTGCTCCTCCCCCTACGGGCTTCTGCGGCCCTTCAGTACCCCTGGAGTGTATCGACCCCTCAAGCGAAGCAGCAGCAGCAGCAGCTGCTGCTGCTGCTGCTGCTGGCGTTCGTGGCTGTGTCTTCTATGAAGCCTGCACCAATAGCAGCAGCAGCAAAGGCAGCAGCAGCAGCAGCAGCAACAGCAGCAGCAGCAGCAGCAGAGGCAGGTGGGTCGCAAGCTGGGTTTCTGAAGGCTTCACCCGCAGCAGAACTTTTCCTGTTGCAGCAGCAGCTGCTGCTGCTGCTGGATGGACTGCAGCAGCAGCAGCAGCGCAGCAAATGGCGCAGATATGGCTGCAGCTAATTCTGTGTAAAGCAGCAGCAGCAGCAGGAGCACCAGCAGCAACAGCAGCAGCAGCAGCAACAGCAGCAGCAGCAGCAGCAAACCCTGCAACAGAAGCAGCTCATGATGAGCAGCAACAGCAGCAGCAAGATCAGAAGCAGAACCTGCAACAGCTGGGAGACAAGCAGTTGCTGCTGCAGCAGCAGCTGCAGCAGCAGCAACAGCAGCAGCAGCAGCAGCAGCTGCAGCATGTGAAGAGCGAACAACTGCAGCCGGCTGTGGGGTCCCCAGAAGCAGCAGCAGCAGCAGCAGCAGCAGATATGGGGGCATCTCAAGAGACTGTGGCAGCAGCAGATGCAGCAGCAGCAGCAGCAGCAGCAGCAACAGCAGCAACAGCAGCAGCAGCAACAGCAGAATCAGATACACATACTGCGCTGCAGGAGTACTTGAGCTGCTGCAGCAGCCGCCCTGGTCTTTCGTTTGCTGCTGATAAGGGTTTATGGGTTATAGATGCATGCAAAGCGCTTCGTCCTGCTGCTGCTGCTGCTGCTCCTGCTGCTGCAGCAGCAGCAGCAGCAGCAGCAGCAGCAACAGCAGCAGCAGGCAGCAGCACACTCACCTTCTGCGTTCAGGCCCTCGGCTGGCAGGGGGCCCGCTCTACTGCTATTCGCTGCTACGATGAGCTTGCAGCAGCAGCAGCAGCAACAACAACAGCAGCAGCAGCAGCAGCAGCAACTGATGCAACTGTAGCAGCAGTTGCTGCTCCTATCACCACAGCGACAACAAACAGCGGCAGCAGCTGCCAAGAGAAAATTGCTGCTGCTGTTTCTGCTGCTGCTGCTGCAGCAGCAGCAGCAGCTCCATGTCCTGTAGAGTCAAGAGCAAGCCCAGTACCATCAACAGCAGCAGCAGCAGCAGCACCAGCAGCAGCAGCAACAGGGAGCAAGCAGCAACGGGGGGCTGGCGGGGGGCGGCAGCAGCAGCAGCAGCTGCCTACCCTGGAGGAGCTTTTTGCTGCAGTGCAGCGGGTGGACGTCCCCTGCGACACAGCAGCAGCAGCAGCAGCAGCAGCAGCAGCAACAGCAGCAGCAGCAGCAGCAGGTGGTGCGTGTCAGTACCCTCAAGGCGGTGGCAGTGATGCGCTGCCTACGAGCAGCAGCAGAAGCAGCAACACCAGCAGCAGCAGCAGCAGCAGCAGCAGCAGCAGCAGCAGCAGCTGGACGCTGCAGAACCTGTTTAGGCCTCATCTCCGCTTCAGCCGCAGCACAGCAGCAGATGCATTCAAGGGGGGGGCCTGGCGGCTCGAGTGGCTGCAGCCTCGCCAGCAGCAGCAGCAGCAGCAGCAGCAGCAGCAGCAGCAGCAGCAGGAGCTGCTGCTGCAGCAGGTGAGCTGGCCGGTGTACGTGCAGCAGGTGGGGGCGCATCCAGCGTTGCTGCTGGCTCTGTACCTGAAGCAGCAGATTGAAGCAGCAGCAGCAGCAGCAGCAGCAGCAGCAACAGATACGGAGGAACTGCAGCAGCAAGTGCAGCAGCTGCTGCTGCAGTCTCTGCTGCTGCAGCGGGAATGCATCAGCAGCAAAGGCAGCAGAAAGCAGCTGCCGCAGCAGCTGCAGCAGCTGGAGCAGCTGCTGCCCCCCGCCGCGCTGCAGCAGGCCCAAGCATTGAGAGACAGATGCGGCAGGAAGAGACAAGCAGCAGCAAAACCTGCTGCTGCTGCTGCTGCTGCTGCTGCTGCTGCTGCTGCATCGCCTACTGCTTCGCTCGCAAAGTCTCCCTCTGCAGCACAGTTGGCTTCTCCCCTTGCTGCTGCTGCTGCTGCTGCTGCTGCTGCAGATGGAACAGCAGCAGCACCGCTGCCGCCTGCTGCAGCAGCAACACCCCTATCGTCATCAGCAGCAGCTGCTGCAGCAGCTGCTGCTGCTGCTGCAGCAGGACCTACGCAAGTTGATCCTGCCACCGTGGCGCTTCATCAAAGGTTGCTGCTGCTGCAGCAACAGCAGCAGCTGCTGCAGCAGCGGCAGC